GGCAAAACAATAAATCACCAAAGATCCCCTTGTCGGAGTCTTCCTTCTCTGCTCCACAAACTCAGGAACCGACTTGAGATTCTACAGGGAAGCAGGTCATGCCCTGACGCACAACCAGCAGGAAAAAAATGCGTGCCTGAAGTTTTCCAATACTGAGCCTCAGAACATAAAACCACTCAAATAGTGGTTAAAAGCAGCAAAACCTTAAGCTGAATACGTCTTGCAACCAGTTCGAAAACCCTGTGCTACATGAGAGGATTCTTGCAGGCTGTTGCGACATGAACCTCCCATGACATTTTTTCCGTACACCTTATATATTGTGTCATCATTTTCTTGCTGGTATACACAGCATTCCCCCTTTCATGGCAAAATCAACCGCCTACCAAATCAAAGTTTAACCATGATCTACGGCCATAGAGATCTGGGACATGTCCACACCAAACTACACCCATGCCTTAAACCTCAACGTTCTTTGGACGCGAGAAATTATACGTGAACCGCCGATTTTACAAACCATGTTTTTTTTCTTATTGTTACTGTATTATACTGTATTATTTGGGGGGACGGGGTTAACATTTTAATTTTCAGGCCCGCTCCAAAAACATGTTGGTCAGTAGGGTATCTTCCCAACTAGAGATGTAAAGTCAGACAGTGACAGAATAATTGAGAATCTCAACAAACCTACTTCGAACAATCCGAACTTCATTTTCCGAGTTCTGAGTTCATTCTGGCCCCATACATCGAATTCTCGGCACCCAGGAACTGCGACAAACTCATGCCTCACGACTAAAGCACTGAACGTTCAGGAGAAAGAATTTTGGTTCGCGCAAATCCTCTGGAGATCAGGATCTTTGGGCCAACAGACATAGGGTGATATGTAGTTTGATAGAACTTGAACATATATTGATACGAATTGATATAGCTTAAACTTAAACAATATGTGTATATATATATATATATAGGTTCAAGGCTGGGGGTTCCCCGGAGCTTCCAGGAACCCTCAGTCTTGTCATGTACTATAAACGTCGTGATGGTATAGAGATGGGGGATAAGGGGTGGGGGTGTGAGGGGGGGTGTAATAACGTCATGTGGACTGCGTTGGATTGAGACTTGCTGAAACCTTGAGGATGTTGCTTCGTTGAAGATGTTGTTACGTTGCGTGTAGCGTTGTTGTTTACAGAAGGGGGGTGGGGGGTGGGAAGGGTGTAATAACGTCATGTGGACTGCGTTGGATTGAGACTTGTTGAAGCCTTGAGGATGTTGCTTCGTTGAAGATGTTGTTACGTTGCATGTAGCGTTGTTGTTTGCAGAACGAGGGGTGGGGGGTGGGAAGGGTGTAATAACGTCATGTGGACTGCGTTGGATTGAGACTTGTTGAAACCTTGACCATGTTGCTTCGTTGAAGATGTTGTTACGTTGCAAGTATCGTTGTTGTTTACTTCCAAGCAGCTGCTTCAAAAAGCCTTTGTGGACGTGAAGATGAAAAAGGTGTGATGTTCATTTCGTCCATGGTTCTCCAGTGAATTCTTACATTTTCTAGTTGTCAACAAAACAACCAAAAATGCATGAAACCGTAATTCCAATGGATTCGATGTTGCACACATGCTTGGCCATCCATGGAAGATTTCAATTTATGCGCGGACAAACGTCAAGTTTATCCGCGCCGACATTGCAACTTTTACTGATCGAACAATTTGAGAGAAGAGCACAAAACACTGTAAAACACAGTGTAAAATCAACATTTTCCACATCCATGCAAATAAAATGCAATTGGCTTCCGGGGAACCCCGAGCCTTTACCCTATATATATATATACACACATACACATGAAGTGTTATATCTGTATAGCTTGAACTAAACTGATAAAACCTAAGATGGAGTTAGTAACTAACTATATAAGTTGATGTCAGTTCAAACGTAAATGTTTGATATAACTTGGGACAACTTGGGATCAAAGTATAGCTGAGCAAAAACCGGCTGGTTTTTGGAGGTACCCCAAAGGACCCTTAACCGACAGCCAATATTTATCAAATGCTACCAGTAGTGTCAATGTGACATTGTAGGTGCACAATATATAGATAAACATAACATAACGCAGCATAACACAGCATGGCATGGCATGGCATTACCTTTGCATTGAATTGCATTCATACATTACATGTGTATTGATATACATATTTCAAAGCGGAAGGGCAGAGAAACAGAAAAACGAGAAGCAAGAAAAGCAGAGAAGCAGGAAACGGCTAAAAACACGGGAAAACAGGAAACGCAAAAAACGGAGAAGCAGAAAAACAGATAAGCACGCAAAAAGAAAACGGAAAAAACAAAAACAGTGAAACAGAAAAGCAGAGAAGCGGGAACAGCAGAAAAGCAGGAATCAAAAAAAAATCCTAAACCTTGTCAAAAAATATATAAACAACCATCCTTATATAAATAGGTTTACCCGTTCATCAACAGCTGGATTGACTGCCCCACCCCCCGGCCTCAAAGAGTTTGCACTGCAGGTCGGTCGTCCCATGCGGGATTCCACTCTTCCCTGCAGGGGAACTTGGATGTTCATTCCCATTCAGGAACTGCTTGGCAACCATAGTGATGAGGGTGTATGTTAGCAGCCTACTATGATCCAACTATATGTTTGAATTATACATGCATACACTATAAATATGCATATTATATATACATATATAGTCATATGTATATATATATATATATATCTATACACATATTTAGGCAATCTTTATGTATATATATATATATGATAAATAAATACAAATAATATAATACAATACAATATAATAAAATAGAATACAATAAAACAAATATAATACAGAAACAATATAATACAATATAATAAAATATAATATAATCGAATATAACATAATATAGTACAATACAACATAATATAATACAATAATATAATACAATATAATACAATATAATACAATATAATAAAATATAATAAAATATAATAAAATATAATAAAATATAATACAATTCAATGCAAAACAAACAATACAATATAATATAATACATTAACATATAACATAATATAATATTATACAATAAAACATAAGATCATACAATATAATGAAATATAATACATTATAATATAATAAAAAAAATGATGCAATATAATATACTAGAATATAAAGTCACATAATATGGTAAAATATAGTATATATTATAGTTTAATATATATATAATATAATAAACTACAATACAATACAATACAATACAATATAATAAATATAATATATCTAGATAATATATATATATATAATATAACAATACAATATAATATAATATAAAACAATAACATACAATATATATATATAATATTACATAAATATACATATATATATAATATAATATACATCACGTTATACACTTAGCCTTGACTTTACAACCAGGGGATTTTCCCAAACCATCCCACGGAGACATCTCCAGCTGGCCTGGCGTTTTTTACGCACCGACCAGAAGAGTTGCAGCCATCCGGGAATAGCTTTCCCATGTCCTGAGAACCAGCTGTGGGCCACCTTCTACCAGGATTTTTTTTCTGTGCACTTCGGTAGCAGTCTGAGTTACCATCTGCATCTGGCTACCATCTTTGATCATTGATCATTATGGAACATTGTGAATACACCGTCAAGTAGATTGACACTATTGATGGATTATATATGTTTATATATATAATATATGTTTACATGATCACATACGACAATGCGTACACAGACTCCATCACAAGACATACGAGGTATACACATTTATTTCGCTGCTTCGAAGTTAGTGTTGCCCTTAAAGACAAGAACAATTCCACTGAATCAAACCAAGCTATCTAGAAATTTTCTATGGCTATATATATATGGTTATGAATCAAAACCAAAGGGTACCCAAACGGTACCCAGTTAATAGCTGGATGATGCTGGATGATGCTGGATGATGCTGGATGATGCTGGATGATGCTGGATGGTTATTCCCCCAGTCATATTGATAATCATCCATTTTGATAGGATTTTCCATAACAAAAAACCATCCAGCTATTGGGGTACCACCATTTATGGAAATCCCCATATATTCTGAGTAAATTATAGTAATTCACTAACCTGACTTGTTGGGCCATTTGAGGATGATTCCCCTTACTACCCTCTGGTAAATTAACATAGCTATGGAAAATCACCATTTTTAATGGGAAAATCCACTATAAATGGCAATTTTCAATAGCTATGTTAGTTTACCAGAGGGTAACCATGATTCCAGTGAGGTTTTGACCCATCCCCAGATCTACCTGTGAAAAATCGCCGAGCCATGCCGAGCTTCTCAGTCTCAGCAATCCTCCATCCGGAGGCCCACGAAGAGAGCTGATCCATGCTTCCCTGAAACCATGGGATTTTCACCATGGAAAAGCCATGGGAAATCCATGGGAAATCGATGGCAACAATGGAACGAATCATCATTGGTGATTCATTGGTGAAACTGGACACCCGGAAAATGATCCTTGATTCATGGCGGCTCGGCTTTACTGGACAGAGAGAGAGAGAGAGAGAGCCACCAAAGGCTTCACAGGTTAATGGGGATTTACGAGGCCCTATTTATAAGCAGCAGTGGCTCACGATTATACAGCTTCATTGATATTCGTGGCTGCCAACATGATAAAGGATGCTAAAACATCCAGACATTTTGCTTGTTTCATGATCAATTTATATCAATTTGATTTGTGGACGTCCGGTGTATATGGTCCCACGAGAATAGATAGATAATTAGATAGGACGTTGGTATGAAACTTGCATGCTTGGTTACGGATGTTTTACTTAGTCCATTTTAAATAAAACTTTCCCATTTTTACTCGTGCACAGCACAGATTCGTTTGTCGCTTTGTGAATTTTGATTATTCCTAACTTCCACGCACTTTTTTTTCAAGTTCTTGGCTTACAAAATCGCATTCAGCTTTGCATTCGATCGGAAACCATCAAACTCTGTAAACATGCAAGATTCAATCAAGGTCATGTAAAAAAAACATCAAAAATCACCAAAGATCCAATTTGTCGCTGGCAAATCTGGAAAACACCGCGGCCCGCTTCTTCCCGTCTTCCCCTCTTCCGCACCGGAAAGGTGCGCTGCACCAGACCGCGACTGAGGCTGCGATCCTGACAGATTTCCTCAAACCCACGACTACTCTGACTACCCAAACAAATCAGCTTTAGATATACGATAGCTACATTTAAAATCATTTAAATATACAGACTTTTAAATATACAAATCAGGTATTTTAGACTACCTCCACATATTTAAATGTCGTTACCGTACTGTGTAAGCCCAGTCCGGGGTCTGGGTCACATTAGGTCCCAATGGCCCTCCAAGGGTTGTTTGGCCACTGCTCCAATCATAGCAACGTTTTGATACCCAGTCCAAAAAATATCACCTGTCAGATATTATTAGGATTTATTAGGTACCAGGCGCAACTTGTCCAACTTCTCCCCATCAAAATGGCTAAACACACATTACTGACATTATATGGGTTTGTCGGAAAATAGGGTATATTCCCAATTATAGCCATTTAGTAGGGATAATGATCATTAACCATTGGGTTTAGGGGTACACTATTTTCAGACACTTCCATATAAAGACAATCTAGAAACTACCATCCGATGGAATCCGATGGAATCCGTTTCCGACCAAATGCTCCTCCTGCACAATGGTCGAGAGCTCTTGGACCACCTCAGCGGCTCGGGGGTCCACTGGGTGCCCGCGACGTGCCCGGGAAGTGCCAGATGGAGCGCCAGATGGAGCAAGACTTCAGCAGTGACAGATTGTCATAGATTGTCATTGTCAGTGTCATTCTTGTCGTCATTATCATTGTCATCACTGTGATCGTTGTCATCATTGTCATCATTGTCATGATAACCATCACTGGCAACAACTTTTGACTAGACTAAGTGCCCCCAAAAAATACAATCCAAGCCCTTTGGCCACTGGACTAAACAATTGCTTTGTTTTAAAATGGTGGTAAACCTCATTCCAATAAATAATCACTTCTTTTTCCACTAAAATTGCAAGACAAATGACATAAATCATCTTTTTCCAGGTATACCTGCTGTTTTGACAGAGCCAAATCTCTTCTAACTTCTCCTCAGGTTTTCCGACACGCCGAAGTTGGCCCAACAACTCGTTGACAGATGGGGCCTGCCATGTTTTTTTGAACCCACGGGGGCCTAGAGGTTTTCCCAATAGGGGCCCCGAAGTTTTACGTGTTGTTTGAGTGTTTTTTAGCTGGTTGGTGGTTTCAACCCCTCTGAAAAATATTGGTCAGTTGGGATGATGACATTCCCAAAATATGGAAAAAATCAAAGCCATGTTCCAGTCACCACCAACCAGTTAGTTGTTTATGTTGTTGATATTCAGTGAACATAGGGATTCAAGAGCCTCAAAGAAGGTGAAGCCCATAGAGATCATGATGCGAAACCTACATGCCTAATGTGTGTGGGTCACACGACCAATGGAGAAGAAGACTTGAAGACTTGCCCCAAAAAAAGTGAAATCCTTCTGAGAAAGGCTTCAGAAACCAAGCCAAGCAGTATTAGAATTAAATTACAGTAAGCAGCAAAGAATTGAAGCAAACACCAGAAAAATGGCAGGAGGGGAATAGGGAGGTTTCCTAAAATAGGGGTATCCCCAAATCATCTATTTTAATTCGGATGTTCCATGAACTAAACCATCCGTCTATGTACCCGAAATCCCTCTGTCATTATACTGGTTCATAACGTTCATAGGGTTTTCTCTATTATAATCCCCAATACAATCCAATATATCAAAAAAAATTGGGTAGTATAATCCAATATATCTATTATAATCCAATATATATATATAATGTACAATCCAATATATCCAAAACATTGGGTAGTATAATGCCCTATGATCATAAACCAGTTCAATGAATCCGGCACCTCCTTGAATTTCACGGTCTTGATGACCGACCTGAAGATTCAGACATCGTCTCGAGGAATTTCTATGGCTTCATAATAACGGATAAAAACACGACTAAAAAGGGTTAATTACCGCCACAGGAAAATAGTGGTAAACCTATACAAAACTCTCAAATAACAAATAGATAAAACCATATCATGACACATCAACATTACTATTTTCTTGGATACCAATACGTTTATCGCTTCGACATCCGATTCTCTCATGGTAGGTCTGGATCACGAAACGGCTAGGAAGGTTGTATGGCCATGATGGCCGGCCGGCCGTGAAACAAGGCAACACCAAAGCTTCACCTTAGATGACATGTGTTTGGCGATACGAGTATATGATAATATTGCAATAACATTAATATAATAATATTATTATATTATAACATGTCATAACTTAATTATCACATCTTGAAGCCCGGGCATATCTTCCCAGACTTTGTGACCCCTAAACAAGTCGAGGACGGGATATCATGCGATCGGTACCATGGCCGCCACACTTTTTTTACAGCTTTCTGCAGCGTTTCTAGCTTCACCTCATTCACCAACCCCAACACCAACTCCAAAGCTGGAAGTTTTAAATCTTTAGGTTCTATTATGTTCTATTGATTTTGAGATCTATAGATATCTTGAGTATTCCCTGAGGATCACGTATGCTCACGTTTTCATTATGGGTCAAGAACCTCCCCATGGGATATCCTGCTGGTGAGATCCCAATGTTTTTTGGCTAAATTTTAATCACATCAGCACTTAAAAAAGAGGTAAATCATGGAATCCAATGGGCCGTCACAGTCACTCAGTGTTAGATTACCAGGGGGTATACCCTCCGGGGACTTTCCGGCAGCCATGTTGGATGACCAGAGGATACATAGAGAATTCAAGATATCCCAGTGCACCCCCCATCTGATTTCCAATAATTTCCATGTAAATCCTAAAAAAACATATAAACAAAATCCCAGAAAAACATATTCTCATTAAATCAATGAAATCCCACAGAAATCCCAAATGTTTGATGGCTAACTCCCCACGACCCTCCAACTGCACAGACTCCGGGAGGCCTTCCGTTCAGCACCTTGGTGGCCGACTTGGCCGCCTGGATCTCCGCGGGGGAGTCGCCCAGCACGATCAAATTCACGCCGTCAGGGTGGTAGCCTGCCAGTTGGGCCCAAAAACTTCCCACTGGGGACAGTCCATCAATATAACATACAATGTATATATATATATATAATTATATGTATATATATATAGTCAGAGAGGTTTCTTAAAATGGGGAATCCCCAGGTCGCCATGGGTTTCAATACTAAAATGATCTTTGGATGATTTGGGGTACCAATGTTTTAGGAAACACCAATATTATATATATATGTTAAATGACAGGGATAGTCCATATCCTTAATCCGCATGTATACTATGTATATATGACTGAGATTAACTGAGTGGTAACATATGGTGAAGCATCTTGTTAAAACCACTTGAGACATTTACAACAACCTGCAAAATGATGTTGAAGTTGATTGGTTCCTGTGGGGTGCTTTACTGGCAACGGCCAAAAAGGGATGTGGTTTCAATCAAGCTCACAACTTCCCATTGGATTTAAAGGATTTGTATGTGCACGCGATTTTTGGACAGAACAGTTACAGTAATTATGACCGGTTGCTAGATTCCATTGACATGGCTGGTTGCCAAAGGGATCCAAAGGGTAGATCCTAATGTTCAAATGCTTCTGACCACCAAATCTGTTGGTTTTATTCCCAGTTGCTTCTATCATCTTCTATCTACCTTTTCTGTTGAACACGAGCTGAGAATTTCCATACCCAAGTGGGATTTCCCCATAGATTTGCCGCTAGTCCAGGTGATTCCCGGCAATTTTCCGGCACCTTCCTGACGTCGACGAGCCAAAATCTGGCGCAAGGGGCGTTGAGTAAACAAAACTCTATCTGATCCTTGGGGTTCGATCCATTCTGGAGAATGACAACCTGCTTCAATTCCGCAAAGCTAAGACAAGGATATGTTTGAACAAACCACGGATGCCATCCCTCATTCCACAGGTGCTCTGGGCATCCCTATTTGAGGGCGGTGTTTTTTTAGGTGGTAAGTTGGCTCCATGGATTTTCCAGCCCTGTGATCTTTTACAGTGGGGAGCAAAGGATACTAGTGGTTACTAGTGAACATCATCTCCAAAGGAACAGCCTCTAACTGTGAGACCTTGGCACCGCATGGATCCACTCATTCCTCCCAGAGAAAGTGTTGATTAACCCCCGTAATCATCACCCACATACTAGGACATACTAGGAGACTAGGAGTTATCCATAGTTATCCATATCATCGGGGGATGCTTCAATTTAATTATTCTGCATGTTTCTGCCAACCCCTCAAAAGAATGAGCCTTCCAAAAAAACAACTGGCAGGTCTGTGCCTCTTTAAAGGCCTGCCGCTTCCAAGCAAAAGGATCTCCAGGAAAGGACTGCTCATAGACCGCACGCGCTGACATGACCTGTGCAACTTGTCAAAGAGAGGCATTGGGACTTGGATGGGAATGGAGCCGATTTTTTTTTGATGATTTTTGAGGTGGCTCCAAATCCAGATGCATAACTAAGCTTGGTCGGATCTTGAACCTGAGCTTGCGGGGCTCGGTCAGTTCCACATTTAGATCTCACCCGAAGTAGGAATATGTAGGAATCTAGGTGTATAACTACCAACTTTTGGTTTTTGTTCTTCAGCCATTGGCATCCATTAATGGATATTGATATCAAGTGGCCATCTCAAAATCATTCCCTCACGAGATGCCAGCCGGCCTTCACCCGACTCAGAATCTTGCTCAGGTTTGGCAAGAATCGCCGGGCACTGTCCTGCCCCCCGCGGAAAGACTTGGAACAACTGCTGGAACCTGAGATTTTTGTTCACTTGGAAGGTCCCGGTTGATCCTTTTGCGACTGGATAAGGCTGATAAGGCTCGACTTGGATTTGAACATTGGGATTCCAGGTAAAACCCGATTCATTGTCTAAAGTTCCATTGATGGCCTTTCATAAAAACAGATGGGTCGATCTTGCATCCATTACTTGTTTGTTCAACCGGGGGTACTTCTCGAATGCAGTGTATCATCAACTAACCGCACATACCCTACATTACTGCATATAAATTAAGATTTTACCTGGTGAGTGATACTGTGTACGTATGTATAATCATATACATGTCATATATATATATTATATGTATATTATATATATATATATTATATATTATATATATATATATATTATATTATATATATGTGGTCCCGTCCTCCGTCTCTCCACCCACCCCTCCCAATGGGTTGGGTCCCCAGGTAGCATCCCCCCTTCCCTTCTATTTGCAAGCTATTGGCAGCATTTCTGTCTACCAGCCTCGCATTTACTAGGTACATGCTACCTTTTAGGCGACCTACGTAGCACACATACTCCCTCAAAGTACCTACGTGCTACATATAGTCATATATTTATTTGCTATGTATCTACTTCCTATTTACTACCTGTGTACTCTGACAACACTACATGTGTTTAACATAGCCGTACCTACCATACATTCCAATGATGCCATGCATACCATACTTATCATACCTATCATACATACCACACATACCATACATATGAAACATAATTACCACACCTACCATGCATACAATGCCAACCATTCATGCCATACATACCATACTTACAATAGATACCAAACATACCATACTTTCCAAACATTCCATACCAGACCGACCATACACACCATACATACCCAACACCATACTACATCCCCACCACACCACAGGGGGGGAGGGGGACAGTACCACACCGCCACCACACCACAGGGGGGGAGGGGGACAGTGCCACACCCCCACCACACCACAGGGGGGGAGGGGGAAGATCTCATATGGAGGCAGTATATGGGACCCATCCCATTGGGGGGGGAGGGGGTGGCAGGGCCTGGTGCATATATACACATATGTGATTATGTAATATCTACTATATCATATAATATCTCAATATAATCTACATTTACAGACAGCAAAAGATAGTGCTGTCTGTACGCATCCGAGGTTGATCCGCCCAGCCTGCACCCAGGAGGAATTGCCGTTGGTCACGATCATCTGGCAGGAGATAGCTGACATGGGGGTTCAACATGGTTCAACTATAACAAGTCAAGTCAAGGGATCTACTCAGAAAGATTCAAACAATTTCAAACATATTAAAACATATTTAAAAAAACATGTTAAGATCTCAGACTCCAACAACTTAAATATTAAATGAAATTGCTTAATCTTGCTTATTTCATATTATATCATCCCCAAATGCAGAGATCACTGACGGAAATGGGATTTGACAACAACAGGGGACTATGTGCTGAGGGACCATGAGCAGCAATTCCTCATTTCTGGGAAGATCTCCACAGAAGGGGAGTGAATTTCCCTGTTTTCCTGACTCTTCTTGATTACATACCCAGTGTTTTTGGTTACATCCAATGTCGTTCACTTCTATCCAAAGCATGTAGCCTAGCTACATACCTCATGTCATGTCGGTTTGTTCAAAATCAAATTCAGTCCTCATTTATTTGTCATTTTTGGTTGGTTCACCCCTGTGTTTTCACCAACAAGCATCTGAATTGACTCCATTTAAATGGAGACTTCACCAACAGAAATGGGTTTCGACTTCAAGAATGTATTTCAATCCTCGTATTTTTGGGACTCTGGGACATTTCTGGTTATTTTATATGATACTTTTGGCTAACTATCAGATGGTTGGGACGCTCTAGCCCCAACTGTCTCCCCGCAGGGAATATGGATGACCCCTAGCTCGGAATCGCTGCCTCCGTTCACCACCGGATAGTTAGTTCACCCATTAATCCCATTAAATCTCCCACTAATTAAGTAATATTAAATTCCATTAAATCCCATCAAGTCCATTTCAATCCCACTAAGTAACATATAGAATCCCATCGAAATCCCTAAAAATCAGCACTCCTCCCCCCTCCCAACGCTCCCAAGTCCCACCGTCTCTCCCAGCTGCATAGCTGTCTCCAAGATTGACTCCACCATCGACTCCAGTTGCTCCAACTGGGGCGCAAAAAACATCAAAAAACCCATGGGTTTTAGCTGGGTTTTCATGTCCATTTTACCATAAGATTCAAGTACTACAAAGGGATGGAGGTTTCCTGAAACGGGGGTCCCCAAGAACTGGATGTGGGAGTTGCAGCCAGAGAAATGGCCTTTATTTTGTAGAAAACCCTTGGCGTTTCATGGGGATGTCATGATGGGATTGGGATTTAACTCATGTTTGTAATATAACATTTTAGTGATATCAATGATAGGACACATGTGGGATTGTAATGAGCTTTTTACTGCTTGGTAGCTGGGGGTTTTACTGGCCAACATTGGAATTTCCATGACATAGGGACAAGAACATATAGTGCTTGTGGGCCTGATCAAATGGCTATTCTAATGGGATATATATATAACATTATATAACCAGCATTAACAAGAGATGGGGTTGGCCCAAAACTAGGAATCTCACGGCATGTCCTGATAATTCTTCGAGGAGGTTGGATTTTTTTTAGAGGCTTTAGACCCTCCATCCCGGCGCCCAGACCCCAGAAATATCAGTGCCCCTGGTCATCCAAGCATTTTTGGGGATTCCGTATGGAAATATTAACCCTTATGAATGGTGGGGTATGGCGGGGTCATACCATCCCCCCCCAAATTATGGGTGACCAACCGCGCCTGATCTTGGCGCCATTGTTGCGCGTTGATCGCGGAGCTGCAGAGCAGTGTGTCATCCCAGTCAAAAATAATCAC